ACTTGATGAATTGTTTCCTCAGAGTATGGCCAATCCATCTTCATTTCTTCCTGCCTATTCGTGGCACAATCGGTTCCTGGTTGGTTCGCTCATTGCCAGAGATCCTTGTTGCTGATCTTTTCTGGCCATCTGATCAGCGAAGAGATTATTTTCAGCGAATGTATTATGAAGCTGTGTAATTAATTTTTTGAGAGTAATATCAACTGCAACATATGGGGGATCATAGCAACTTGACAGCTAGACAGAGGTTAAACGCTGCAGTTAAAAAAATACTTTTTATGCAGCTAATATCATTAAAATTGAGAATGTGAAGCCAGTATGTCTATCTAAGCCCTTCGAATATGCGAAAAAAATACTGTCACATCCCTCTGCATTTACCAATTTGAATGTACGTGTGGCCTCACATACACGTGGGGCGGGGGCAAACATCGATCTCTGCAAGTAACGGCTGGCTTCAGAGCATATTCTTGAATATCTTCAGAAGCAAATAGAATCTTCAAAACCTAATAATGGTGAGGACAGGAGACTTAGCTTCTCAATTGCGAACATATTATAGAGACGGGACATAAAACTGACGTTAACAGATCTTTTAAACCTATCTATAAAGTGTGTTTGGGGCGTATTTTAAAGTTTGTGGAAACCTTAGCTGGCAATTAGTAAGTTCAAAACCACCTTTATGCGTTCAAAGCAACAATTCATCATCACACTTAAACTTCCTTGCTAAATTTGGTCTTGATACCAGCCAGCGTAGATGTACTATTACCTCTGTTATTTGGTTTACTTATCTTCATTGTTATTTTGACTTTCAATATCTCCTTTAAACTTGACCCAAGTCTATTTTCTCACCTCTTAACTCTTTATTATTTTCATATATATTCCTATGACAAGTCCATGTGTGGTCAGATTGTTCGAAATGTGTTGCGCAAATACATTACACGTTTAAGACAAATTACGTCTTCTTATTGCTTTGTCTAAAATATTTGTGATTATAATCTGTAGCGATTTGATTAAGTTTTGGAGGCGGAGTTGCTAGCACCAAGCCCCAAACCCCGCTCTTTATCCGGGCTTGTGACCGGCTAGAAAACTAGCGAGCCAGAAATCTAGGCAAGGAGGCCGCTGGGTGACATTGCGCGCGTCAGGCCATTGCTCGAGTGGAACCAGGCCGAAAAGGAAGCGGCGAGCGGGATGTCAGTGGAAATGTGACATGGAAGATATCGTCTGAAGAGGAGTTGAAACAGTATGGACTAACATGTATGCAGGTGAAAAGTACAGCAGAAGGAAGACAGAAGCAAGTGGAGAGGTGTAGTTGAAGCCCTATGTTCCACTAGGAACCCAAGGGAATAATAATAATAAATAGTCATAGTTAGACATCTAGAGACAAGGATTCGGTTGTGCCTTGGAGAGGGTGTAGAAATGAATAAGACTGATAGGCAATTAAAACACCATGAGACTATATTGCAAAAATTCATATTATGTTGACAGGTTAAATAATAATACCAGAAATTGTTCAGTCTGAAGATGGTAAAAGTAATCGAAATGATAAGAGATGTCTAGATGTACAAATTGAATAAACAAAACGAAAAATACACAGGGTCAAGGTGAGAGTGGGAGTTATAATAATATCATATTATATACGTTTATTTTAAATATCACTAAGTAATAATGAAGAGGTTTTGAGCATGCGTTGCGTTATTCTGACTGTACATGTGTGGTGTTGAGTCGATAAACAAAGTTTCAGTGATTAACCTCTCTCTCTCACTCCAACTAACTATATTACCCTTTTCATACTCTCATCCACCTCACCTATTGTATGATTATTTGCAAGCGAATGAAATGCAGTGGCTGGGTCTCTTTCCTAGGTTATTCAACTCACCTAAGCAGGGTGACTCATTCTAGATCCGGCTAGCTGAAGTTTTATGTTCCAATAATCTAGATGATCCCGATCTACTAGTTTGACCTATGTAATTGATATCAGAGTCTACATTGCATGGTATTAGGTAAACCGTATTATTTTTCCTAAATGGCCCTATTCGGTCCTTAAGCCGACAATGTTTGTCTCTGAAAGAGTTGGTTGGTTGGTTTAAATGCCACTCTAATTCCAACTTCATTGAGAATCCAAAGGCTTTGAATTCTATATCATTTTTGTCATTTTTATTGCTAATCTTAGTTTTCCTATGGTTCTTCATATATTTCTGAATAAATTCTGGTGGGTGGTTATTCACTAGTAATACTTCCTTTCGTTAGTTTGATTTCATTGTTTAAATCTAAAGACTTACTATTTAGGCTCCTGGGACGATTATATAGACATTTAACTTAACCTATCTTTACTTATTCTGGATGGGATGAACCACAGTCTAAGCATTTATTATATTGTGTGGTGTTTTCTTATAAATGCTAGTATCTAACTCACCATCTTATTTTGTGAAGAAGTGGTGGGACAAACATTTTTGTATACAAAGTTCTGGCTTTCTTATTTCAATGGCCAAGGCTCCAGCAAAAGTAATAAGTCGGACACGTAATGACTGACTAATTCAATGCATTACTTGTCTGTTGAAGGAAATCATCAGAATTTGATTTAATTCAAGGCTTGACCCTCTGAAATGAATCATTCTGAGCACACTGATAAGAAACATCCAGTCAGTAATATATGTATATATATTATATGCATTTAATATAACAGGACAACATTTTCCCTTATATGAGGCTTTCCGGTATTATAAATCTACAGTTCGTATTTAATATTTTTGGCGAATGTATATCGTCCTTAGATTCCTCAGATGTCAGTGTGACAGATATGAATTTGAACAAAGCAAGAACTACAGCTTTTGCAGAATAAAGTGATACCATCTTTCATTTTGTTGCCTTATCGTCAGCTGCTTACAAACCGAAGATATTATTAAATATATCTTTCATCTGAATGCGTAATGCTGAAAAGTTTCTATTGTGTATGATTATTATTGTTCGGGATAGTGTTTAATATTACATATTTATATGTATATATTATTACTTTATGCATATACTTATCTATTGATTTTTATTTAAAATGAACTCTATGTGCAAGTATGTTAAAATTGTTTTTGTAGATATATTTAATAATGTCTTTAGCCTGTAAGCAGCTGACGAGAAGACAACGAAATAGACTCTGATGGTACCACTTTATTCGGCAAAAATTGTAGTTTTTGCTCTGTTCAAATTCATTAAGGGGAATAAATGTATGACAGTTATTAGTTGACATTTACAAAACGGTTGTCTTTCTTAATGTAGCTGTATTTTACGGGCCAACTAGTTTAATTGAGAAGTCTTCCTCGTCTTTCTAGAAAACATCTTAGGTTTAGATATGGATATCAACCCGAAAAATACTCCACTGAGTATAATATGATCTTCTTCACTCTTTTATATGCATATCGCTGAGGGAACACAAACATATAGCGAATGTAATTGAATTTTAGATTTTCCCGTCGAGTGATTGGATCGAAGTGCTCGGTCTCAGGTTGATATGTCGGCTTCTTGTGCAGATGCTCTGACAATGTCTGGGAATTTAATTTCAATTTAATTCGTGGATAGCGTTTGAATCTATGGGCACTGGGTTCCAGCCTCAGTGGGAGCATCATCACTCACTGTGGAATGCGGGTACATGCAGATGACGAGTCCCGAATAAGACAAAATGCGAATCCTGGATTCCACTGATAGTCGCCATCCACAAATTAAATATAGCGAATGTATTAATAGTTAAACCAACTTTTCACATATATATAAAAATGATATAATGAAATATCATTCATTTTCATAATTTGTAAATCCTAACTTAAAATTGGCGCCATTCCTTTTTACCTGTCATTTCACCACTCTCCTAATTTCAACCATCAATTTCTTTATAACAATCGAAAAAAAACCGGAAAAATATTGTCAAAAAATGAAATTTGAAACTATACGTTACCAAAAGAAGTGATAAAGACGCTTGAAACTCAAAAAAAATACGCGAGTTTCTAGGAGAAGCACTGGAAGCACTTCTTGTTTTAAACTCCATGAATTAAAATATTCAAAGCCTAACAAAACTTCCCATAGAGTTCATTTTAATTTCAAGTAAGGAAATACAATGATGTTTAGTTGTATGATCATATTTTAAACATCAGTAATAGATTAGGAAGCACATTTCTGTGAAAGTCAAATGAGAAATGTGTGTGTTGTTGGCACAGCGTTTAGGACTCTCGCCGACCATGCACATGGTCCGCGGTTCGATCCTCTACTGACACACACCTGATATCTATGGTCGGCCTGCGAAATTTGGGCTATCGCTATCCATACTGAAAATTCCATACTTGTACCAAAAATACAGTGTGGAATCAAGCTGTAATCAAAAAATAAAAAATAAATAAAAAACATGCCATAACAATTAGTTTACACCAGCCACGTAGGAAGATGTAGACGTCCTGACTGGTTGGGGTCCTCGGGACGGTAGAAATCAGTGGCTGAAGACAGTCGGTGATATGGCTCAAAAGTATTCTCAATGGCCACGGCAGATGCATCCACTCCTTGTGACTTATGATTTCCAGTGAAACTATGTTGTTCTTCGTTATTACTATTCCTTTGTTTCACACCTCTGTTTACTGTCTCCATTATACATTTCTTTTTCACTTTCTACTCTTCCTTTGTGTACTACATGGATTGTGGTGACTTGAACTGCCGCACATCGGTGCAAAGTTCTATGTCGAAAACAAACAGACATACAGTGGTCGTCTTGGAACTAAATGGGATATTTGCAGTTGTTCTCTGAAGGTGTGATAATCTGAAATGATGTATTTTGTGCAAAGCTTTACTTCTATAGACCGGCCAGTTAGCCGGACAATAGTAACAGAATTTTCTTGAGTAATCATCAAGCTTCATTATAGATGATCAATTTATCTGATATCTTCTCCTTGGCATAATGTATAATTTTAAAATTATGACCAATTTATGAATTAATGTTGCATTTCTTTTGTTTTCCTTATTTTACCCATTAGTTGATTATTTCTGGTCTGATCGGTACTTGTATATGCTTTCGTCATCGAATCCCAGCGATTTCACCAAAGTTTATGAATATTATACAAGTGAGTGTGTAATATTTCTTTTCAATTTTGTTTTAATTTCGGATACTTTTTAAACTCTAAACTGCACTAGTAGGTATCAGAAATAATGGTTAAACATTTAGTTACTCCTTTGGTCTCTGTTAGCTAGTTTAGGAAGTGAAAGAATTTGTCAGTTACTCAATAAACGTTGTATATGAATGAAAGTTTCTATCTTGTAACGCTCATAGTACTTGTTCTACTGAGATCAGAGACGAATGAAACAACAAAATGATCGTCCGAAATATATTTTATTTGTTTATTGTTCCCTTGGGTTCCTAGTGGAATATAGGGCTTCAACTATACGTCTCCACTTGCTTCTGTCTGTTGCTTCTGTACTTTTCACCTGCATCCATCCATGTTAGTCAATACTGTCTCAAATCCTCAACTCTTCACACGATTTCCTCATATCACCCTTGCACTGACACCCCACTCGCCGCGTGCTTCCCTTTCAACCTGGTTCCACTCGAAAAATGGCCTGACGCGCGCGCGATCTCATTCAGCGACCTCCTCAGCGAGCGAGTGTCCAATCCATCTTCACTTTCTCCTGCATATTCGTTGGTTGGCGATTGGTTTGTTCTTGTTTTGTTTCTTCCCATAGTTTCTTGTTGGTGATTCTTTCCACCCTGACCATCTGATCTTCAGTATAGATCCAGCGAAGACAGTTGTTGATAAAGGTCTGCATGCAACAGGCTGTTGGAAATATTCTTTGTGACCCACCTGCCAAGTTTCTGATCCGTATAGAAGAGCTGACTGACTTGATGTCGTCTGTATTGAAAATCCGACCGAATTTTGTTGTTGATGCTGAGTGATGAAGGTTTTCAGATTGGCTTCAGGTTGATGAGTGTATTTCTCGACTTCACATCCCTGTTCGTTCCTCCTTTAGTTGAGACAATGCTCCCTAAATAAGTGAGTGAATGAAGTCACCTCTTTCAAATCCCTTCCGTTGATGGTGATTGACGCTGGATGTTGCTGCTGCTGTTGTTGTTGTTGGCTGGTTATTTTCATAACCTCCGTCTTGTCTATGTTCACTTAGAGTCCTGTCTTCTCTGGCTGCTTCTTCGACCAGTTTGTCGGTTTTAGGTCGCCTGTAAGTCTTCGATTTTGTGACAGTGACATCAAACATAAATCATCCACACGCGAAATCCAGGTCTTCTAGGCTTTTGTCCGAAATACGACATATATTTTTGGGGGTCAGAATCGCTGAGCGATGACGGTTGCTTAGTTAGCTAGTAATCGTCTACGAACGATTGAAAGTAACATGACAGCATGCCATATGGTTCACTGCAGACCTTCAGCTTAAAAAGCCAACTTAAATACTGAAGGTCAGCATCCACTGTTAAGTGAAGAATGCTGTGTATTAACAAGTTTGAGGAATTGCTTTTACCAATATACTAGCAGTGGAATCCAGGATGAGCATTTCCTCCTTACTGGTTATCCGCATCCCTAGGAAGGAAGCGATGGTATTCCCACTGAGACATGAGCCCACGCCCATCATTTAGGACGATATTCACTAGATTAATGGGCCTCAATAATCACATTTATGTGGTAAGTTTTAGCCAATAAGTGTATAAAGACTTAGCATTTAGGTTCATTACAAGTCAATCACTGGCTAAATTAGATTAAATTATGCAAATATTACCATTCAGTCAACAAACTTTGTATGATTGTTTCTTCAAAAACAGATCGTTTCCCTTCACTTAATGGATTACCTGCGTATCATGTGTGATAAACTAGAAAATTTACTTACATATATATATATATATCATTTATTCGCAAGGTATTTGAAACTAACTCTTCATAAGTGAAATGATAATGAATGTGTTTTTGGTAACCATACAAGTGACACAAAGACTGCTCACTTAATCCTCACTATAACCCGGATTCCACTACCTGTATCTTCTCACTGGCCATGAGGTGATAGTCAATCCCATGTGTGTAGTTCTTCGTTTGGTACAGACTGAATTCTGTCAGTTAACTTCGCAGTGTGGTCACCATACAGGGTGCCTTACCATGACGGTGCACTGTTAATCTATCTTACTTATTTGGTTGCAGGTAGTGGGTAGGCAGGACGTCTTGAACTTTGACTGGTAGAATAAGGGTGAACAGTTTAGAAAAATAAGTAAAATACTCGAGTTGACAAACTGTAAGGGAAGAGGTTGAGTTATGCCTGAATGCCTCAACTGCTTCATGTAAAAAGGTCAGACGAAATATTCTTTTAGAAATCACTGAGATATGGGAAGACCAGGATAGGTCAGAAGAAAGAATTTATCCAAGATACTTAACTTCAGACTTGATTTCTATATCCTCAGTATCATCAATTTTGCAACAGTCTTAGGACCCAACAGCTTCATCTAACTGTCTTTTGCATCGGAAACTGAAATAAACAGTCTAGCATTAGGAAGGATTTAGTTTAAGGCCGTTACACGAAGACCATTTGCTGACTCCTGATAGAAAGCTGTTCATCTTGGTACAGTCCAGCTGAGAGTTAACAGATGTACTCTTTGAAGGCCTAATTTCGAAGCATCTTGCCGATTTTCTTCCATTCACCTAATAGCAATAAATCAGAGGGCACAGTGATGTCAATCTACTTAGTATGGTGGCTACAGTGTAAACCTGACTGATAGAATCCAGTTGGCACCAGACGAAGGATGAGACGCATGATACTGGTTACTAACTACTGTCCAATCAAGATATATACATATATATATGTATATATCAAACTCTTCTGTCGTATCAACGTATTTGCCTTTATAATTTCATGGAAATGAATACTCAGGATCTAAGTCTCTCATGTTTACTTTTTTGCACTTTCTCATGACATTGGGCATATGCTTCATTTAAAGGATGAAGATGTACACATGAGTTCCATTATTTTTGAACAGTTCAGTAGGCGTGAATTTTTTCGCATTCAGTTTTAATTTCTTCCCCAGTCCATCTTTTGTTTTAAACATAAGTTATGTCACTTGAATCATAATGACTGTTTGGTGGGATAACAATAAAAAGGTGGTTGCTTCATCACGTCAAAACTTGGAGTAGGTAACTAACGCTTGACTTCGTTTAATCGCTGAAGAAAATATACACTTTAATTCAAGACTACTGTGTTCAGCTCGAAATATTTTTCTGGTTGATTTCAACAAAAAACTACTATTTAATCATCTATAATTTCATCACAGTTAGTTATAATGGAATCAGAATCGATAGGGAGTGAGGACAAACGATCATCGACGACAGTGGCTGCTGCCAGTCACGCTAAGATCAGGGATTGTTAGAATTAATGAATTCATCGGCTGGCCTTTGAGTCAAGTCCCACTGGTTGAATGGTCTACCAGCTTGCTTTCTTGCTTTTGACCAGAAAGTTCTGGGTTCGGACGTTGTCGGTGGGTGTGTACTGTCAAATAAGTTCTAGACTGGTGGAACGAAACAGCTGTTCAGTACCCCGCGGTTTTCGATGGTTTTCTAACTGATATCAATCCGTGTTCAAAATTGAAATTAATTTTTTCTAAAGTTACATGGTGGTTTTCATGAAGTAAGATGATTCAGATATAAGTACTTTGCTAAAAAGGCTTTGAATGGAATAAAGTAAACGTTCCCTTATTACGTTATCACAATAAACTATATGATTTTGTTGTCTTCCTTAATAGCACTAGTTATAATTAACGGATTACTGAATTCCGGCCCAAGTAGGCGAATTGTTAGCAAGCTTGTTCTGGCAACCTGAAGGATTCAGGTTAGATCCGTGGTAGAGTCGTTGCTGGGCACTGATGAGTAGTTCGAATCTACGATGAAACAGCTATCCAGTGTACCCTTGTCTTGAATAATTATTCTTACTGATGAAGTCTACAATGAACTTAGTTTTTCTGTTTCAGAACCACTAAAATGCTGAAAGTGAGGCTTGTAGATGATTTCCACATAAAGTATTTGACTTAGATCACCACTTAGTCGACCTATCACATCTATATAACACAGAGTGATATAGTGTTATTAACTGTATCAAGCTTTAATCGCAATTTATTGCTCATAATTAGATCGATGTAATCACACGCCTTCATAATTTGTTATATTCTCTCTCTTCCATCTTGTGTGTGTGTGTGTTATTGCAATTTTCCAAACATCATCTCAGCTGCACATGTTTAGTGTTGATTCGTTGGATAAAGTTTTGGGTGATTTACCTCTCTCTGTCTCTCCACCTAACTATATTATTTTTAGAACTTTCACCCTACTGTGTGAGTATCAGCGGTACAGCGGAAGGATGCTCGTCAACCAGACCTCACATGAATCAAGGTTCGATCCCCAGCCGATGCACTCCTTTACCTCGTTAAACCGGTAATAAGACCGGTAAAGAGCGAAGGTTAAGCATGGGGATAGCAAACCCATCCCCTAAAAATAAAATGCCACTGCTATCGGAACTTAAAAGCTCTAGCTTGAAGCCTTATATTCCACTGAGGAATAAAATAATAATAATAACCTACTGAGTGAATGCATTGCAGTGGCCAGGCTTTTTTCTGCATTATTCTACTCAGCAAGGTAAATCATTCTAGGCGTAGCTGAATTTGGTATTAGATGGTTGACAACAATCGACCAGCAGCCCCATACCTAGGTTTCATGCTAGCTGGCGCCTACCAGTCAGTCAGTCAGGTGTATCTGCAATTTTAAAGGAACTTATATCCATTCTGAGACTCGAACTTGCGTCATCCAGTGGGGCTGTAGTCTGAGACGTTACCACTGAGCTATTTCGACTAATACCAACAACTCACAGTGCACCGTGATGATGAGCCAACTGGCATGGTGGCCACACCGCAAACTTGACTGATAGAATTCAATCTGCATCGAAGATAGGATTAGACGCATTACACTAGTTACAGGCTAGTGTCCAATCAAAACTATGTTGCTAAATTTCTATGTGCCGATAATTCAAATAACCCTGATCTACTAACTTGATTTATACAGCTGATTTCACAGCCATTACATGATATTTGGTAAAT